ACATTACTTGTATAATTTAATAAATGGGTTGCCATTTTTTTTTTTCATTACAATAGGTTTTAATATGTAAAAGTGCTAACAACATCCTTATTATATAAACAACATGGCCAGACTTTTATATAGCACATATGATTTCCTCCACTCAGGTCTGATAGCTAGAAATTAGACTTAATTTTAAGAAATGTCTTTAAACAAATATTGATATGAATGTCAAACTACTCAAGTGGTAAATTACCAGCATTTTAAATATATAGGAATTTTTATAATAAATATAACCAAAAATAGATAGGAAGTATGTTATTCTCATGATTACCAGGTGAAAATAAAGTCTAAATAAAGAATACCAATGAAACCACAGCCAGTGGCTGACACATTTTTCTAGCAATTGATAAGTTTAATTTATACCCAGTATAAAGACTGACGGCTACTGACCTGTAATCTAGTTTTGGTACAAACTATATAGGCCGCAGACTACCTTTTCTAAAATCAGATCTGCAACAGCTGTACTAGTTAAGTTGCCCATGACTACTGATTTCTCAATATTATCATAACAATTAATTATTTCAATATTATTTTAATGTTATGAACAAATTAATGAGTATGGAAAAATAATTTATTACCATGGCATATGTTATGCTATGTGGTGGGTCTATGTGGGGTTTATTTACTAAAGAGAATATTTACCTAGCTTTGAAAGTAAGTAAAATCTGTGTTCATATCAGTCATGCAGTCATGTGAAAGCAAAAATCCTGTTTGCCTAATTTGCTTTGCTCGTGGTTGGGTATTCAAAATTAACACAGCTTCACCTTGTAATTAAACTAAATGAAAATTTAATTTTCTAACTGAACAGTCCTTAATAACTCAACCCCAACACAATTATATAGTTTAACATACCACTACAAAGACGTTTGAATAAGTATATAAATTTGCAGCATATTAATTATTGTAACATGTGTCCAGCAGGGTGAATGATTACCGCCTGTAAATGCTTTAGATACATTTGGTTTGAATGATTTCAGGTCTTCCATAGACCAACTTTTTTTACATGGCATTTTTTTTATCCTATTTACATAATATCTGTATACAGTGCCTTTGTTTAGAATCTGTATATATATATATATATATATATATATATATATATATATATATATATATATATATATATTGAGTTTCCCTCTGTTACTATAAGAAAGATCCTAGTGTTTCAAAATGTTTTTATTTTTAAAAATACATTTTATAAGCTACAAAAAAAAAAACATCCCTTTTGAAAATACTTTTTTCCTTCACTAGTTCACTAGCTGTGTATTTATTCCTAACTAAAGTGTGCTGGAATTAAAAGCTGGTACTTTAGTACAAATAATAATTATATGATATTATTCCTGTGTAGTTTGGGAATAATGTCATACTGGAGGCAAAGAATATAAGGTAGAGTATATTCATAGATATTAAGTACAAGGTTTTCATTTTTCTTTCTACACAGAGGTCAGGTAATAAAATGCCGAGTTTTCTTTTTAAAAATAATTTTCTTGTCCTAACTGTACCATTTAATACAGCAGTGCTAAAAAGATATTAAAAAGTAGGTTTCAGTTTTGTCACCATTTATACTCTGTTTATCAAAGCAACCATACTTGCATGGTAATTCACTAAATAAATAGTAGGCAAAAGATCCTAATTTTCATTTTTAAATAATATTATGGGGCCATTTTATTTTTTAAATACTATTTTTATATCTATTTAACCTAATTAGATGTTGCAAACATGTTTGTCAGACCTGTAGGTAAGTCACCCCCTTTTAACACATTATCAAAAATGGGGCTTATTGATGCAACAGAAATCAGAAAGTTCAGAAAAGTAATAATATCAATTTATCAGTGATCTAAGTGGCTGCCTATATTAATAAAAAAAATAATATGTCAGGCTGCTAGTTAATCTTAAAATTACCAATGAAAGTTTATATCTTTTTAATTTTTAATAACATGGTAGGTTGCACTCAATACACAAAAAAAAGTTTTTTTTTCTTTTTTTTTTTTTGCCCATCCCTTTCCATTCTGCAACAAAACATTGTGATTCTTTACCTCAAGCGTCGTGTTATTTTGTTTTACGTTCTAGGTGAAGAAAGTGCAAGGTTGTTGCAGATCATCAAAAACAGGGCTATTCTCCTTCAGTATACATTACTGTAAACGTATGTTGAATTTTCCAAGTTTACAATCATTTAAACATTCCAGCTTTTGTTGTCACACTCCCTCAGCAGCCCACTTTTTTTTCACGACAACTGCTTGATCATGAGTATGTGCTGTGGTGCGTGCCCCGAACATGCAGATACAAATGATTCAGCAATATGGACAGATTAATGCTGTCTAGTTCAATTACATTACCATACTCATGTATTTGGGTTTATACAAAACATATGTTATTTTTATGTCATGTTTCATTATCTTAACTTCAAAAAAGCTTAAATTCTATTTTTTTCCTGCACATTGTTTTGAATGTAGATTTGGGA